TTTGTTTTTTGTTGTGTTTTTTCCCACGAACGATCGGCGGCTTTTCGATCGCCAAGTCGTTCCACTTTGATTGATTCTGGGCCACGGGCGGCGCTCAAGCTTGAACGCCCGCGGCGGGCTCGCCGCCACATCGACACGACGCGAACGTACGGTAACCGAGATAGGTCTGTCGACCACCCCCCCAACCGTGAAAACAACTTATCCTTTCGACGCCCTGGCTGACGGACCGGGGTCCCACCAATAGCAGAAAAGAATTAGCTCTCCGCGGCACCCGCCGCGCAACAACGACGACGACTGCGACTAGAAAGAGGAGAAAGAGAAGTAGCAGTTGGCGGAGGAGGAGGAGGAGGAGGAGGAGGAGGAGGAGGAGGAGGAGGAGGAGGAGGAGGAGGAGGAGGAGGAGGAGGGAGGAGGAGGAGAGGAGGAGGAGGAGGAGGAGGAGGAGGAGAGGAGGAGGAGCAGGAGGAGCGGGATGAGGAGGAGGATGAGAAGGACAAGGAAGAGGAGGAGGAGGAGGATGAGGAGGAGGAAGAGGAGGAGCAGGAGCAGAAGGAGGAGGAGGAGGAGGAGGAGGAGGAGGAGGAGGAGGAGGAGGAGCAAGAGGAGGAGGATGGGCGGAGTTATGCCCCGCCGAGAGAAACAGGGGGGATATCCCCCCAACTGCAGACCTCATGAGGTTATGCTCGTGCAACTTCGTTTTCTTCTCCTTCGCCGGCTGAGGCCGGCTCGGGGCTCCCTCGGGCCCTCTTGGGGCGTGCCGCGGTCGCCCGCCCGAACGCCGCTGGCATCGAGAAGCGCGCCTCCGCGCCAGGGCGCGCGCTCCATGCGCCTGCGTGTTGGCGCGCGCGTTCGCGCCTCCTCCGCCCCCGTGGGCGGGGGGGCTTGCGCACCAACAAGGCGTATTAACACAATTTGGGATAATGATGTCCTCGTTGTTGGTTTGAGACTCATTTGTTCAAGGCTCTGACTGGAGTCGCACCGACCACCAACTGGGGGTGCGCGATCTGCCGACCTGTGGGATGCTAATGTGTAGAGGGCTCGTGAAAGCGTTCAAAAACATGTACGGTATGCACCAATACCACCCCTGCCGCAATACGCGGGCTCCAAAACTCTCGACTCCTTCCGGGGGACAGATGTCAAGCCCCGGCTCGTGCTCTGGTGGCCCCAGTCGCCGTCAAAGAACCGCCCGTTCTGACTTTTCAACACGCTGGTCTGCGCCCTCCTTCTCGAAGCCGTCCCCGGGGTCAACCTGTCCTGGAGGAGGAGGAGGAGGTTGGAGGAGGAGGAGAAGGAGGAAGAGGAGGAGGAGGAGGAGGAGGAGGAGGAGGAGGAGGAGGAGGAGGTTGGAGGAGGAGGATGGAGGAGGAGGAGAAGGAGGAAGAGGAGGAGGAGGATGAGGAGGAGGAGGAGGAGGAGGATCGGATCGGATCGGCTCTATCGCGGTGCGAATGAAAGGATGACACAACTCTCTACCCAGACCTCCACGGCGACCAGGAGCACAAGGTAGCGCTCCGCGAGCACCAGGTAGAAGAAGAAGTGTCACTGCTGCTGACAGTCGGGAGGCTTGTCAGCGGTCGAAGCGACACTGGGACTGGGACCCGCTGCCGCCGCCGCCGAACGTGTGGCTTCCCCGAGCTGCCCCAGCAGATCACTGATGCTGCACTCGCCGCTCGGCCGCGCCGAACGATCTCCTGCAGCCGATATCGTCGTTCTCAAGGGCCTGGTCGCTGTCTGTGGCCCCACCCCCCTTAGGGCGTCGGCGTCCCTCAGGAGCCGCGCCCGCTCCTCGCTGGCCTCCCACCGCTGGATAGCGGCCTTCTCGCACGTATTGGCTGCCGCACTGATGCTGATCGTGTCGGGCTCACTCCCCGCCAGCGCCGGCCCGCGACTGCAGCTGCTAGAGTAGTGACTAGGAAGAAAGGGCCCAAGCTTCGGCGTCCTGGTCTCGCCCGTACCGATCGCAACACTGCAGCTGTCCACATAGGGCTGTAAACTAGAAAGGAGGCTGGGGGTAACGGGCTCTACCTTCGCCTTCCTTTTCTCGCACGACCTGATCGCAGCGCTGTAGCTGATCATGTTGGGATCCGTCTTCGTCTCCAACTTATCGCACACGCTGTTTTCAGAGTTGTGGCTAGAGAGGATGGCGGGCTCCAGCTTCGCCTTCCCCTTCTCACAGGCCTCTGAGTTGTGGCTAAGTGACGTGTCGGGCTCTAACGTCGCCTCCCACTTCTCGCAGGCGCTGTTCCAAGTGATAGGGCTAGCGACGATAGTGGGCTCTACCTTCGCCTCCCCTTCATCGCACTTCTCCCTGGGCTTCTGTTGCGCCCTCCCCTTCTCACATGCCCTGATCTCAGCGCTGTAGCTGATGGTGTCGGGCTCTTCCTTCGCCTTCCACCTCTCGCACGCGCTGGCCCCCGTGCTGTGGCCAGTAATAGGGATAACTGGCTCTAACTTCGCCTTCCCCTTCGCGCTCGTCCTGATCGCAGCGCTGTAGCTGATC